GTTAGATATTCATGGCCATGAGAACACTGAACTTATTACTTGCAACATAAAATTTAATGGTCCTTCAATACAAGGACATCCAACATGTTAATACTCCTTTTCTTCCCAAATTTTGTTCTCAGTATCTCTCTTAAGACTCCTGAAGATAGAATTTTTGGAAACTTGTGTTTGAACCGTGTATGTCAATCACAAGATCCAAGTCAAATTGCATGATGCCAAGAAAACTACAGTTAAATAGGAACTCAATAAATTTCTCAAACGGAGAGTGGAAACTTAGTGGAAGAATGAAAAAGCCTACAACATGAGGGTACATAAGCACATTCATGGCCATCCCAAAAAGGTGTTTTCTCAGAAGTCTACGGGACTTCAGTTTATCATCTATTTAAAACCTATTTCTGTTTTTGCTAAATCTGTCTGTGCACTAAAAGCTATGTTAAAGCAGGTGCTAATCGTTATTTCACTTTGTGCTCCACTGACTTTCTCGCAATTGGTGGAGGTGGCCACTTTGCACTCTACATGGACAGTGATCTGTGAGCACCAACCTTTACTTCTCTGTTATATATGTATTTATTCTGCAACCATGTGTAATGTGAATTATGTCTGTTTCCTCGAATAAAATTTAGATAGTGTTTAGTTATTGTTTTAGGATAGAAAAGACTGAGACTGCGGGGATAAGGGAGACTTGTCCCCTCTTCCTGTTTTGAAGGGATAAAAAATCGCTTCAAAACTTTCCTAGAAAATTATTTTCACATCTTTTGTCTTTTTAACCAAATATATTTTGTTTATTTCGGTTTCTTTTAAATTTGTCCTTTTTGTTTTGAGACACTACCTTTACACGTGATTATATAATGGATCTAATTTTTTTGTCTGTTCAATGCGAAGATTAAATGGATCAAGTTCGGTCTCGGAAACCTATGGGAACCCTTGTCTTGCGCACACAGAAGACTTTGAAGTTAAGGAAGTTGAGGTATGCATGGGCCTCTACCCTTCTCGCTCTCTCTCTCTCTCTCTCTCTCTCTCTCTCTTTCACACACAAACACGAAGCAAGCCGTTTCCTGTGGTTCATCAGCTCTACAGTGTCAAATTCCTTTTGGGATGGTTACAAAACAACTGACAGAAGTCGCATTTTCTCCCTCCGTATTGCAGTTGTGGGGCTTTGTATATGGTTCAAAGTATGAGGAAATACTTGCTTTAAGCCGAACTGAAGCTCCTGGGATTTGTCGGTTTTGAACGTTCAAGAATGGGACAGAGCTCATTCATTATGACGTGGATCAAGTGGTTTGTTTGACACTACTGAATGATGCTTGATGCCAATCCCTTGCACATCTCAAATGGAAGTCGGTACATGTAAAGAATCATTTACTATCAACCTTTGTACACAGATATTCAATCTTTAAACCAAGAGTGCTTTTTAACGTTTTTTAATGTAAGCTGGATTTGACAGTAATGACTGATCATGCTACATAGAAGAACACCTATGGCACTGCTAATTGTAGATCAAAGTTTGTAAATATATTAGATTAGTGAGATATTTAGTTTATCATCATAAATGTATGTGAAATAAAAGATGTTCAACCAAAACTTACGAGTTTATGTATATTTAAAATTATAATCATACAAAAGCATAATTCATGGAAAACATATTTAACATAAATATAATAAAAAGAATTTTAGCATATTAAATATATAATTAAACTTGCATATTAGTTAGTAACAAAAAAAGTATATGTTTAAATTAAAACAAAAAAAAATAGTTATTAGTTGAAGCATGTAAAAGTAATGAAATTCTTGTTATTATTAATGAATTTTTTATTTGCTTCTTATAATCAAGTCTCAGAATATACAATATAATTTATATAAAAAAACAATAGTTAATAATATTTATAAATAAATATTTTCTTCACAATAAGAAGAAAAAAACTTGTAATGAAACGACTTAATAAATAAAAATAATTAAACTATGCAATATAGAAATCAATATTCATTCTCTTTAACTTAGAGTTAATGTATGCTAATTATAAGCATGCAAAAGCATAATTCATGACAAATATATATTAACATAAATATAAAAAAAATAGCATGCTTATTAATTATATAATTAAACTTGTAATTGATATTAACTAGTAATAAAAAGTATTTATGTTTAAATTAAAATTAAAAAAATATTTATTAGTTGATGTGCTTAAAAGTAATGATTTTTTTGTTTGCTTCTCACTATCAAGTCTTGAGTAGAAAGAGTAGAATATATATATATATAGCTAATAATATTTATAAATAAATATTTTGACTTTACAATAATAAAAAAATAAAACTTTTAATAAAGCAACTTAATAAATAAAAATAATTAAACTATGCAAGATAAAAATCAATATTCATTTCCTTTCTTGGGTTTTAATTTTTATTACTTCACTTGTAAAGTGTATTGTATACAAAAATAATATTGTATAAGTAATACTTTTACCAAGTAAGTTTATAAGAAATATTAGAGAGATTACAAACAATCTCAAATAAAACTTAATTTTCTTAAACAAAACTTCATAAACTATAACTATTTATTGTACTAACTTTTTGTATATATAAACAATAACATATGTGTGAACAAAATCAACTAGATAACTATGATGTTAATCTTAGAAAGTATAAGTAAGATAAACAAAAAACATGATCAAACTAACAAAATAGCAAGAAATGTTATAAACAAATTAATAATTTACTTATTAGAAAAAATAAATCAATAAAATATATGGCATGCATCAAGACATCCAAAACACAAGAAAGATAATTTTAGAAAATAAATGAAAACTTTAAAACAAAGATATATAACCACTTTTTAAAATTAAACAAAAAAAAAAGAGAAATCATAACAAAACAAAAGGTTATAACATAACAAACCAAAAGATTACAGATTAAAGCATATAGAAATAAAATTAAATATATATATTTGGGAATATAACAAATTAAAAAATAAATAAATTATAACTTAAATTTCAAAGATGCTAAAAACTTATTTCATAATTAATCTATATTATTATTTTCATTTTTTTTTCACAAGATAAACTAAACAAAGTCAAATATAAAAATAAAACCTTAAGATTATAGATTAAAGTTTGTAAACATATTAGTCTAGTAAATAAAGATATTTAGTTTATCATCGTAAAGGCATACTAAATAAAAAGATGTCTAACAAAAACGTAGAGTTGATACATGTTTAAAACTATAAGCATATTAAAACATAATTCATTGTAGACATGCTTTTGACATAAATATAATAAAAAGAATTATAACATGTATACTAAATATTAGAGAATAATATAAATCATATCTTGAGATTTTATCTAATAGCTTAAACTTTTAGGTCAAGATGATAATTTGACATAGTACCAGAGCAGAGTTCGAATCTCATCACTCTATTTATTTGATAAAAATCAAGTACAAGTTAACGTGGATCTGTGTAAGTTTCAAACTTAAATAGCTTTCACTTGAAGGGGTGTGTTAAAGAATAATATAAATCATATTTTAAAACTTCACTTAACAATTTAAACTTTTAGATAGAGATGATTATTTGATATTAAGCATATAATTAAACTTATAATTGATATCAATTCAAAGTTCTAGCATGAATACTACTAATAAAAAATATCTATTTTTAAAAATTATAATTGCAACACATCTATTACAAGCTTTAGCATTTCAATTAAGAATATGTTTGGTATTATAGTAATAATTATCTTTTAAAATTTATTTTAATATCAGTACATCAAAAAATATGAAGAAACTAAAAAAAACATAAAATTTAAAGCTAAGAATTTTTTTTTAATTTTTTTTAAAATACTTTTAAAACACAAAACTACACTAGTTATATACTTTCATCATATTTAATAAAATCTTTTCAACAAGAATGCAACTATTAACACGAATATGACCAAATGAGTCCGCAAATTAATTACAAACGCAACATTATATCATATTTTTGTTACTACAAATATCACCATTATTGGATTAAGTTTGATTCCTCGGAGATGGAGTTTTTTTTTCCTCAACAAAAAAAAGGTACCATTAATAAAAAATTTATTGTAAACTAAAGTTTATATATGTATTGGAAAGTTAAGATAAAAATTTTATTTTTTAAAAAGAAAAAAAATTGAATATTTGTTTAAATTTAAAATTAAATCCTAAAGTTTTAATTGATTTGAATCAATACAATTAAATTTCATCTTGTCAAATTAGATATTAACACACTATCAAAACTTATTCTTAATATTATAAAAGCCTATATAAAAACAACCTAAATAAAACATCAAACATAATCATAAATCAACTTAGTATGAAAAGATTAAATTGAAAATATAAAAAAATCAAATAAGAAAAAAATCATAAATAACTATTGTAACCCATACTATATTGTGTTTTTCTTCTATATTGCATACCCATAATTGTTTTTTAAATATTTCTTCCGCCCTTGTTTTTTTTTATCACAAACATTATTTTATAATTTATTTGAGCATCAATTTTGCAAAACCACACTATTAAAAGTAAAAAAGACTTAATAAAAAGATGACGTGAATAAAAAAAAATTATTTGCTGTTAATAACTTTTTCAAATATTTGAGTAATAAACAAATAGAGATTTGGGGGTTATAGAAGGGAAATATATATTTTTTTTATTTGTATTCTTATTTAGAGGAACCAGTAATCAGGTGATAACTCAATATTTTTAAGTTGATTTAAGTAATAAGTCCAAATATATATAATTCTGATGATTTATTAGAAGTAACGCATCTTTAAACTCAGCCCACAGGTATATGTTTCTATCAATCTGCATGGACTCATTCAATTATTGAGTTCAATTATATATAAGTATGATAATTTAACAGATTCAACATCATTTAGTCAAACATTAAACCTAAATATATATAAATTTAATAATTTACCAGACTCTGATAAATTAATAAACATTGAACCTAAATTTTAAAAAATTAATAAAATATTACTAATTCTCCATCAAAATCTTCCGGGCCGGAGGAGGAGTTGTTAGCCTAGGAATGAAGGTATTCACTTTTCTTGTGGATTTTAATTTCCACAGCTGACGGCACAGGAAAAGGCAACAGAAAAAGAAAAGTAAGAAGAAAGAGAGCGCGCCTAAAGGCTCGCCAAAAATGGCGACGACGAAGCGAAACGGTGGAGCCACCAGGTCGGAGAGAACGAACCCAAGGGTTTGGCTATACTCCGTTTTGCTCACTCTTCAATACGGAGCCCAGCCTCTCATCTCCAAACGCTTCACCAGGTCCTTTCCTTTCCTTTCCCTTCTAATTCCAATTTCCAACGGCTTTTACTTTCCTTTCTCTTCGATTTTCTTGTCTTTCTCGCATTGATTATTTTCTCTTGGAATTTCATCAATTCAACTCGCTTTGTTTTTTCCAAGTAAATTTTGCATTAGGATTCGATTCTCGTTATTCCTTTAATGAATTTGAAATTAAATTGTTGATTGATTAATGATTGCCTTTTTTGGTACAATTTGAGGAAGCATGATCAGGTTAGTCGTAATTTGTATTAGTTATTCAATTTCCGGATTCCGATATTGGTATGTTGTGATTCTGACCTAGTTTATACAAAATCAGCTGGTCTGTTCTGACCTAATTTTTACTGATTTCGACGGTCTTATTGCCTGAAAAATTTGTGAATTTGTGCTCAATCTGGCTTTTTTGCTTTCGTTCTTAAGCTACCCCAAGCTTTAACGGATCCAATTTATTATGATCGTTGTTTCCTTTATATGTTAACAAATGTTCTTGGCATGCGTTTTTCTATGCAATGCTAGTCACTAATTAATTGAGTTTCATGCAGACGTGAAGTAATCGTGACTACATCTGTTTTGACATGCGAGTTAGCTAAGGTAAGTCATGTTCCAAGTACATGAATTTCGTTTTCATTGAAGTTTTTGTTTATATTTAAACACAATGATCATCTACTTTTTTCTTTTATTTTCTTTAGGTTGTATGTGCCCTAATTCTCATGGTAAGAGATGGAAGTTTGAAGAAAGTGTTCAGCCAGTGGACTTTGGTTGGTTCGTTGACTGCATCCGGACTTCCTGCAGCAATTTATGCACTGCAAAACAGCTTGCTGCAGATATCATACAAGAATCTTGATTCACTCACATTTTCAATATTGAACCAGACAAAAATATTTTTTACTGCATTCTTTACATACATAATGTTGAGGTATGTTCTTAAATTTCTTTTTAGTGGTCCGTTATTCATCTCTTTTGGACTATATTAAGTATACAGCAATGATTCTCAATGTCCAAGCAATTAACATCTTATAAAACCTAGAAACCATTTCTTGTTTAGGTTTATTTGAATCTTGGCTCTTGAGTCTGTGCTATGCTCCACCTAATAACTGCCTCGTTGAATTTTTTTCTATTTTGAAATGAGTTGCTTACAGATTGATATCCCATAGTGGCTCATTAGTAAGAAAAGCTATAAGTTGTGATTTACAGATCCCTATCACTTTGTCTTTTTATAGACTTTCATTCCTTGTTCTTGGTGTTCAAGAATTCTTGAAATATCATGCCAACTAAGCTGGTATTTTAAGTCATCTTCTATTCTGAAGCTAATGTATGAGAACCTTTCTTTGGATATTTTTTGAGTATGTGCCTGCTTTTAATAAGCCACCGTCCTTAATTGTAATGTGACTGAGGCAACATCCAGGCAGTAGATTATGAGAAGCCACATACCTGTACGTGAAACTAGTTATGCTAAGTTTTAGGTTGGTATTGGAAACTCCTTTTACGTTCTTCTCTGGTGGGAGTGTGCAGGCAGAAGCAATCAATTCAACAAATTGGGGCTTTGTTGTTGCTGATAATGGCAGCTGTTCTTCTAAGCATTGGTGAAGGCTCTAGCAAAGGCTCTAGTAGTAGTGACCCCGAGCAAATTTTATTTTATGGGATCATTCCAGTCCTGGTTGCTTCTGTTCTCTCTGGTCTTGCTTCAGCTTTGTGTCAATGGGCTTCTCAGGTACTTTAACTTGTATTTAAATGATCTTATCAGTGTTGTCTATTCCCAACCCTTCCAACATTATTTCTCTTCATTTCAGGTTAAGAAACACTCGTCGTACTTGATGACTGTAGAAATGTCAATTGTTGGAAGCTTATGCTTGTTGGCCAGCACCACTAAGTCTCCAGATGGAGAAGCTATCAGACAGCATGGATACTTTTATGGTTGGACTCCACTAACTATGGTAATGATCTTACCCATAATGCAATTGTTCTTGAAGATAACAATGGCATACTTGGCAAAATATTTAAAGTGGCAATGGGTTGGAGTTGGAATATGATTGGTGGGAGTTTCAGTTTCAAATCTTGCCATGAAATAGAAAACAACTCCAATTGGTTTGTGGTTCTCTCTCTCTCTCTCTCTTTTTTTTTTCCAGTTGAGGTAGTTTTCTTGTCTGAAGGATGGAGAAATTGTCTATAGATCATATGGTCTTTTCCCTCTGTTTAAATCTTTTACACTGACACAAATATAGCTGGATGGTAAAGCTCATATATCCCGGGCGGTTGTTAGTATTAGGATATCTGCCTGAAGTTGGAATGCTTTTAATTTGCTGTCAATCTCCTGTGACTCCTGTTTCTTTCAGAGACAAAATTTTGCTTGTTGTCCTTCTGGTTATGCATTGACTCTTTGGATTTTTCTTCTTCTTCTGGTTACTCAAGAAACATTAGTAGATGGCTTGTCATTCTGTGGGCTGTTAAAATTGTCCACTTACTAATATAGTTTGACAGCCACAAGTGCATCTGGCATTGCATAATGCTTCAGATTGGTGAAATTTATCTGCATTATATATTTGAAGTAGGAATATTTTGAAATATGATGTATTGAGATTGTTGAGGTGTAGAGGAGGATCTAGTCATTAGTTTATCCAAAGAGAGTGTTTAAATTGTGATACAGTTGGAAAAAAGTATTTTGAGTTAAAAATCAGATTTGAATCCTGCCTTTTGGGTTCATGTATTGGATCCCAATGACACTCAAAAACATGTTTTTTTGAATACACAAATCTCAAATAAAGCTGAATGGGACATATGCATTGGGTGGGGTGTATTGGGTTGATAGGCTGTGGATGTGAGGGATATTTTGGTTTAGAGTAGTTGTGAATTGATATAATTTATATGCGAGGCCTTTTATTCCCCCAGCTTCTTCTCTTGGAGCCTTGGCAGTATTGCATTCTGAATTTTACAGAGCCAGTAATATTCTTGTCAGATATGTCAAGGTGCATTTTCAATTTTTCTGCTGACGGCATACCTGCTAACAGCTGTATCATGCGGTTTAACATTGAAAAGTTGTGTTTCTTTTGTTTCAGATCCCAGTTGTAGCCAATGCTCTTGGTGGAATTCTTGTTGGCCTTGTCACAAGCTATGCTGGTGGTGTGAGAAAGGTAAATATAACAATGTCAAAGTGGATAATTTTTATCAGATAATGGAAGCCAACTCTAAAGATATGGCCTGGAGTTTCCTCAATTATGAGCTACTAAGACAGCTTTTTATCTCCACAAAATCTTCTCCAGGGGTTTGTCATTGTTTCTGCACTTCTTGTAACGGCCTTGCTTCAGTTCATGTTTGAAGGGAAACCACCTTCAGTGTACTGTCTTGTGGCTCTTCCACTCGTCATGAGCAGCATTTCGATATACCAGAAATATCCATATAGAGTTAAAAAGAAGGAATCATAATCACATTGACCACAAAAGGGAATCATTGAACTAGCCCCAGTAGATAGAGGTTTCTTTTGGTTTAAAATTTAGGCATCTCAACTAGTAGATGGAGAAAGTACTGCTATTTTAAAGAAGTTTCTCCATAGCTGCCAGATAAGGAGACGAGGGCTCAAAGCACTGCTTTGTTTTTTCTTCCCCTCAAAATTGTATGCAGTCTTCATTCGACAAAATTCAATACTGGTTTCTAGCAAAAGGAAGAGAACAGGGTACTGATTTGTGATCCCTTCTGACTATGGATGACTTGTGTTCTTTAGAATCTTGTCAACATGAATATTTTATTGTTGCACGTTGTGAACTTGACACGAATGGATTTAATGTAGAAAACAAAACCCATGCAAGGGTGTTTCCTCTCTCTCTCTGTCTCTCTAGCTCTGTCGGAGAAATGCATGTTAGAACTTTTTGTTCTTTGCTTAATTGTTTCCTGTTGGGATCTCGTATTTCTGCTAATGTACTCCTCCACCCATGCAACTATGGTGGAAGTCCAAATTCAGTTCTAGAAATTTAGAAGGAAATAAAATAAAAAAGGAAGAATGTACAAGATAGCACCAATGCGAGGGTCACTGACAAATCGATCCTTGTTATCATGGATGAACCTCTATTTGAATATAATATAATTATAATAAATAGCTACTGTATTAATAATACTAGAAATTATGTCCAAAATCCTTGAAATTACATCCAGTTTAGTGATGGAATTTTTTATCCAAACAAGTTTTTTTCCTCAAATGCAAAAATATACTCAATTTTAATTGTAAAATTTACTTCAATATTTTATTTGAAACTCTTTCAATTTATAGCATCATTATATAGAGTATAATAGAACTAGATTATTTTTTTTTATTTTTAATATCTAATTAAAAACTAGTATTCAAATAATTATGAACTATTAGTTCATCTTCTTTATAAACTAAAAAAACATCTTAGTTATTCTTAAGCACTTAATATTATTGTTAACTATCTTCCAATTACTTTTATATTGATTAGATTGATATTTATTTATTATATTCAAAGCATAAGATATATTTAATCTTGTACATGATATTTTTAACATATAAGGAATGATTTTCATTATATATCTCAATTTGTGTTTTAAAGCACATAATCTTAGAGAGATGTATCCTATATGAAATAGGTAAGTATTATTTTTTAGATTTTTTCATGCTAAATTATTTTAGCATCTTGTCTATTTGCATGGATTAAGACAATCCAAACAAACTTTTAGATATATTTTTGTAGATCTTTATTCCCGGTATATAGGTTGTTTCTCTTATATTCTTCATAAAGAAATTACTAAACAACTAAATCTTTACTAAGTAAAGTAAAGAAATATCATTTTTCATTAATAATATATCATGCAAATATAATATTATAAAAATAGTTCAACTTTCACTAACGCTTTTATAAACTCAAATGGATTTTAATGAAGTCAAACATTATGGTTATTTCATCAAAATGGATATTCCAACTCTTTGAAACTTAATTGAACCAATATATGAATTTTCATAACTTGCATACTTTATTGCAAAATTTCTTATATTCAAAACCGGTTATGTCACATACACATCTTCTTGAAGATTCCCATTAGAAATATAATTTTTATATCCATTTTCCAAACATTATAATCATAATAAGCAAAATTCTTATAAACTTTAACATAATTATCAACAAGAAGGTTTCATCAAAGTTAATCTATTTGTCCTTGTCTGTAATATTTGACAACTAGTTTAGTTTTGTATATTTATACATTAGTATTTATACCAATCTTTATCTTAAAGACTTATTTACATTGAATGAGTTTTATTCTTTTAGGTGGATCAACCACAATCTATACCTGGTTGTCTTATATGAAATTTATTTCATAGACTCAATCTATTTTTTAGAATTAATATCTAATATTGGTTTTATGTAATTGGTAGGCTTATCAAATATGAGTAACTTGTTATTTTAAATTTTCATTCAATTTTCATGAGAAGTCCATATCTTATTGGTGTATAACGTGTCCTACCAAATTTAAGGATTTTTTTATGTTTCTAAAGCTTTAAGTTGAACAAAAAATATTGTAGCCTCATATCCTCTATTTGGATATCATTTTATAGTTTTTGAACTTTTTCAAGTTCTATTTTTTTTATCATTGCTTATTTTAAAAACAAATTATTTCTTTAGAAAGATGACATGTTTTAAAACAAACACTTTCGCTCCTTAAGGTGACATAAATATTATACAATAATTTTTTATAGATATCCTAAACTTATATTTATTTGCCCTAGCTCTTAGCCTTTTAAATACAATACGCTTCACAAAAGCATCACATCTTAACTTTTTAAGTATGATAAGATTAGTCTCATATCATTTTATTTTTTATATATAGTCTTATTAATAGATTTTGATAAAAAAAAAAAAAAAATTAATGTAAGCAGCAGTTTATAAAAGCATATCCTTGGAAGCAGTTTATAGGGGCATAGCTTTGGAAGGAAGATGAAAAGTTTGTATAGCTCATCATGAAACCTACATTATCTAGTAGGGTGCAATTTTTCCTTTTAAAAACTCTATTATATTATGGTATTTCAAAAGGTGTTCAGTATGAGATAATCTTATTCTCTTTTAGATAATCTTAAAAATAGATGTTGAAGTATTCATCACTTCTATCCAATCAAAATATAATAATATTCTTTCCAGTTTATTTTTCAACTTTATTTCTAAATTCTTTGGACCTTTTAAATAATTTAGATTTTCATCAAATATATATGATTATATTCAATATGGTCATCAATGATGAAACATATATATCTAATTATGACACTAATTGTTATTGATTCTCATATATTTGTATCTATTAGACCTAACAATTCTTTAGACCTTTCACTCTTTTCAACAAATGGTATTTTAGTTTTCTTATCTAATAAACAAAATTCACAAATTTTATATAAGTATTAAATTCATTGTACACATCATTATTATAAAAGAAATAATATTTTTTCTTAATAATAAATTCAAATTCATTCAGAAATGAATATTATGTTTTTTAAAAGTGCTAGAATAAAATAACAATTATCAAGTTTTAGTATTAGCTTATTTGAAAAAGTTAGTGTAATTATGCTTGCTTCATTATAGATCCACTTTACCTTTATTCAATTATAAACACACATGAAACAGAAGCTTCAATAAGATTTTTAGCCTCAACGATTGTAAGTTAGTCTTTGTAGATCCTTCTATAATTATTTTCCTTGCCATAATGATGACAAATACGCTTATCATTCTTGATGCCCCAAGTAGGCTTTTATGCTTGAACTGCAAGACCAAATCAATGATTAACTTATGGTTTGTAACAAAACCTAATTGGTATAATTTCTTAAAATAACCAATTATCCTTAATATATGGGTATTCACCAAAGAACCATTTATCATCTTACAACGAAACAATTCCTTAAAGGTTTCATATTTCTCAGTGCATCAAACAACTATTTAAGATGCATAATTATTATTTAAGTGTTTATATTTTCATGTTATATTTGAAGCTTAAGTGATATTTTGATTGACATCACACATATAGCATGCTCATTATCATTAATGACATTGATATTCAGTTTTAATTTCATTTTCAATTTCTTTATTAATAACAAAAAAAATACAAAAAAAATATGATTTTCAAGAACATACAACATTATTTTTTTAGAACAATTCTCATATTTTGATATCAGTCCAAAATGTTTGGTTTAATCAATTTATTAGCATCAAGTATGCTACATAAGAATACATTTATTTTTACTTATGATAATTTATCAACATATCCATGTAAAGAAAATGAGTATTTGTTTCATGAATAAATATTTATAATAAGATTTAGATAATATCTTTAATTATAATTTGATCTCCCATTATTTTCCTGTAAATTAATAGTCATCACAATTAATTCGGAGAATCTTGCTTAGATCTCTTAGTAGGATATGATCCTATTTAATTTATATGACCTTAACTAACTCAACAAATCAAAATCAATTAAATTATATAGATAACACAACTTATCAATCATATTTTTATGTGGCTTCTAAATCAATTATGTGACAATTCTTTATCTAAATATAACATATATGTTTCGCTTAATTATTTTCTCTAATCTTATATGATTATAAGTAACTCATTCATATCATGTAACCTAGTTATATATATAAAATTAAAAGGCAACAAATCATGTTTTTAATATGTATTTAGTGTATTAATAAGAGATTTATTATTTTAATTAAATCTCATTTCATTGCATTGTTAGGTTATTATTGGGCCTGACACACTGTCAAGCCCTAGATATGATAGGTTGGCCGATCCTAGACCCAAATACGATTGGATTTGGTATTATGCTAAGCTCTAGGCGTGACAGGTCTAGTGCTAGCCAGACCTAACCACGAATGAGGTTGGTAGTAACACCAAACTCAGCCTCACATGAACTTTTTAATTTGCTTAAGCTAAACATGTTGGGTTTGGCATTGACCTGATTCAAGAGATGATTGAGTCTAACACCATTAATTTTGTAAATTTTATATAAAAATCATAAATGAATTATTTATCAACAACTGAGCTTAATTAAATAAGTTTATATTCCTTCGAGACTATTAGATATATTAAAATCTTTCATGACCAGCCATGTCACTATCTTTTAACCAGATAAAATAAGTAAAATGCAACTTAAAATATTATAAAAATAAAATTACACTTTAGTTTCTACTCTTCACAGAAAAATAAAACTTATAAACTATAAATACATCATCGAACCTTCAAAACTAAGTTTTATAATCTTTATTTTATATTTTATATATATTTTTAAAGTATTTTTTCTAGAATATTATTATATTTTTTTTAAATATTTATTTAAATACTAGAAAATCTTTTATCTCCATTAAAATATTTTTTTTATAAGTATTAGCTATAATTCATAGTGGTAGGACCGAATACAATTTATCAATGCACCCAAGGCATTGGCCTAGCGGTGGTAGGCGTCTTGCGCCTTCTGCTGCCCAGAGTTCGAGTCTTGGAGTTGCATGCCTGTCAGCCCCGCGCTGCCTTACCTGCCTGCTGGGTTTGCAGGGTGTTCAGTGGGCCTTGGAGATTAGTCATGGTGCGCGTAAACTGGTCCGGACACCCCACGTAAATAAAAAAAAAATAAAAAAAATTATAAAATTAATAGAACACATTCATTATAGCTACTATGCTAGTTGAATTTTTGTTACTTCATAACATATTCGTCGGAGCAAAGAAATGGTAGACAGATTGGGAAGAAGAGTGATGAACTTCGCAAACCTTCCAATAAAGATCCTAATGGCAACAACATATACGAACATTTACGAAATTATACTGAAAACAATC